GGAATTGGGCTTGAAACAGGAAAGATATACTATTTACTGTGACAGTCAGAGTGTCATTCACCTCTCTAAGAATTCAACATACCATTCTAGATCCAAGCATATTGATGTGAGATATTACTGGATTCGTGATGTGCTTGAGTTGAAAGAATTACAGTTGGAAAAGGTGCATACCAATGACAATAGTTCAAATATGTTGATAAAGTCTTTACTTAAGGAGAAGTTTGAAGCATGTAGGCGAAGAGCGAGCTTGGTATAGCCCACCATATGAGTTGGAGGGGGAGAATTGTTGGGTCTAACCTATATATGGGCTTGGAAAATTGGGTCTATTGAGCCCAAATCACTAATTGAAGGCAGAAATTAAAAAGAGAGAGAATAGGGTTGGGTGTAGTGTGCGTGTGCGCAGAAAACGTGTAGGGTGTGACGGTGTGCAGAGAAAAGAGGAGAGAGAAATAGAGAGAGAAATATTAGATTTCTAAGTTTTTTGCTTGACGATCGGTGGCCAAATGTTATTAGTTTCAACCCAAATTTTATGTGAAAAATTCTTGCAGCAAACTCTACAATCCTAACGGTGTTGATCTATAGTTTACCCTCTCTAAGGTACTTTCCGAGACCTAGAATTCTCTTTTGAGGAGATCCATCGTATACGATGATATGCTAGAGCCAAGATCTATATTCTTGATGCTATTCTGATCCTTTAGTTATTCTAGATAAGACCTACTGTAAACCTGTTATCATTATTATTGATAGTGGAAGTTTGAGGTGGACTACGGTCCCATGGTTTTTCTCACATTGGGTTTTCCACGTTAAAAAGATTTGGTCTCACTGTGTGATTGATCTTTTGCTCTATTGTTTATGCTGTGTTGATTGATATTTTCATTTTGATATCAAGTTGGTATTTTGACGAGGAACCCATTTTGATACACAAAGAGGGAAAAGAATATCGCTTTAACAGTTTTTTTCCCAACAACATCAAATGACATTTTTATCATGTATATCCTCAACGTAGTTTTATCATGTATATCCTCAACATAGTTTTTTCCATAGTTTTATAGAACTTTTCATGTATATCCTCAACATGTATATCATGTATACCATACTTGCATCACGGGATCGACACATATTAATTTCATAACTCGAGTTGATATATTATAGTAATACATGTATAAAAAATTTCTAATATATGAAGATGATTCTGACCGAGAGTGAAAGATGTCATAGTCGAGCTAATTAAAAAAATTCAATCTCTTTTATCTCACAAGCTGATAGGATCACTTCTAAATATAAGATCCTTATGGTAACTTAGCTTGGTTATCAAATCTCTTGTAGTAATCAGATTAGGTTTAATGTTCACTGTAAATTTTTTTGATTCTATAGTGTATAATAGATCCACAAATCTATTTCTTGGAGGCAATATAGGACATGTTTCTTACTCAAACATGTAAAAAAGGAACCCTGCTCATCAGCATAAACCAAAAAATCTTGGACTTGATGTGGTCTCCTATAAATCTGATCCAATAATATTTATGGGGTGATAACGTTTTAGATTACGCAATCAAATTAGATAACGACATGATTGAGATTACCTTTACCTCACAACTCCAAAGAATACATAGGGTGGCATCACCATGATGCAACAATGATCTAAAAATGTCCTTGTTCATTCACAGCTATGTACCATTTGGGTTCACATGTTGATGATGACTTCTGTTGGTATGTTCTTTCTAACAATCAATGAAGTTGAGATTTCTGCCTCATGTGTCCACCCACCAAAATGCGTTGACTTTAACTGGACCACAATTCTTCATTTTCGGTGCTGAATTGCTTGATAGAACAACACACATGCCATATTTTATGTTCTAAACAATGTTTGGTATAAAATAATAGTATACATATATCAAATCACTTATGAAGTTATTCCTACTTGGCCTATTTTTTTCCTTCAATGTTATCCAACGATAAGATCCTCCATAAATAATGTCATGTTAATACAAGGAGAAGATTTTTGTGAGATATATTTCATTTCATGTATAAAATATTATTACTGAAAATATTTTTCGTACATACAAGCTCATTGAATGAGACAATGAAACATTGCAATGGAGATTACTCTCTAAACAAACATTTTTAGGTGTCAACTTCTAATTGGGTCATTCCTAGTGGGAGAAAGCCCATAAAGCACTAGATTATATTGGCAAGTATCAACTTGTTTTAGTGATTATTAGGCATAAACTATACCCCAGTGACCTATGATTGATGAGAAATATTCTATTCTCATATCTACTTTGTCAAACACATAACCAAACATCCATCTCTTCTATGTACTTCAAATGTCTTTTCCAGCAACACGAACTCTTTGATGTGGACTCAATTATCTCTCTAATCCTACATACCAACTAATATTAAAAATAATAATAATTTGTACTATATACATATTTGCAAAAGAGGAAATTTATAAAAATACTCCTCTAAATTATCATCCATTCCTCGCAAAACTCAAAACCCTTTCGTTAGTTTGATTGCTCATAGTGTTAAAATATTTTTTTGATTAAGTTAAGTGATCATATCACATTTTGCTGTAACATCTATATAAGTATGTCTAATGGTCGATTATCTAAAATTATTAATTTTCTTAATTAGCAAATTATTTGCATTTAGTGCTCACAATAAATGCTCACTTTATTCGCAATTATGTTTCGCCTCAATTGCATTTATTGATCAAAATAAATATATGTTTTTATGCTATTTTTTTAGAAAAAAGAAAACTAAGTCTTCTTATTAATTAAAAGAGTGGGGTAACTCGCTAGGAGTTGCTTCTAGAAGAATAGAAACCCTTTGTAGCTAGGAAATGTACTTCCCTATTACCCTCTCACGGATACGAGTAACTCTAACGATGTACAAAACACAGAGTGGAGATATGAGCTAACATTATTAATAGAATTTACATAGGTTAGCGAGTCTGTGCAGAGCAAAATTTATTGATGTCTTGTGTCTTCTGCATGGCATTGAGGATGATATAACATTCAGCTTCAAAGGTAGAAGCAGCATTGTCGGTAGAAATGCCTTCAGCTAGGCAGGTTCTAAGATTATCCTCGATGATAAAGTCAATACTTGCATGATCAAAAGCAAGGTTGAATAAGACATTACAAGTGATAGAATAGTTATAGTTGATATATGCTGCTATGATGCTTAACCATGTTACATAGATTTCTATTTGGAATCTTCTACTATTTATAGCATCATTTTAAGGATTTTTAATATTTCTAAAACACTCCTATGTGTATGAACACAAATATTTTCTTATTTTATTTTATTTTACTCCTCGATCTAACCAATAATGGTGTGGGTGATGATCACTCATGAGAGCCACCGATGGAAGTGATAAGATTATGCGGAAGAAAAAAAAAAAAGGATAAGATTGGTGATGGTGGGATTAAAAATAATAAAATAATATTTTATTATTTTTTAAGAAAATATCAGGGATTTACTAATAGTAACAGACCCGTGAATAGCAAGTTATATTTTAAAAGGATAATAATACACATAGTCATCGTATAACAAAATAAAACCATTCATATATTTACAATTAAAATATAAAATATTTATGTCTATCAAAAAAAGAGTTCTTATTGACTCTTTTGGAATTGAGAGATTTAAATCATTCTATTTTACCAGTATTATTTTTAAACGAGAGTGATACTATAAAGAAGAAGAGGAACAAAAGGGAAAAATTACTAGAGAGAAAGAACATAAGATTTCAAGAAAAAAAAATATGAATATAAGATAAAAACCAACAATTCGTCTATATATATATATATATATAAATTTATTTGAGTGTCTTGTATGCTTGTTGTTGACATGTTAAGCCTTCATGAATGGAGTGAATTCAATTCAATGGAACAGCTTCTAATTTTCTGATAATAACAATCTACTACTCGTATTTAATTTCATCATATCTGCAGGAACGCAATGCACGGCAAGACGAGATGACATGGCCCACTCCATTTATCTTCTATATTAATTGTAGAGACTTCACACAACAACCATTTCTTTAATTGAACCAACGACATTCATGAGGGCGAACAATGTTCCCATATTCTCTCTTTGTCCTCAGCGGAAAGTACTGTGTCTAACCTTTGAAAATAATGAGTTTTAGACCAATTCTTGTGTAGACTAATTCGCCGTTCCACCTTCGATTCCAAAAGCATTGTGTCTAAACTTTGATTTCATGAATCCATTTCGGTCCAAGGTTGCCAAATTATGATTGAAGGAAGGGTCGAGGTCGTCAGTCTCTTCATTTTCTGGTCCCTCCCTTTCGTTTCCACTAGATTTATATACGTATCTATCCTTTTAAATTTATCCCTTTAATTTTTTTTTCCTATACATCCATCGTATCAATTCAATAAGCTGGTATTATTATTATTGTTAATTACGTGAAAATCAATAATTTAGAGGGATAGAATATAATATAATATAATATATATTTATTTATTTGAAAGTGTATTTATATCAATTGGAGTTTCAATATCATCACCATATGATATGATATGATAGGGATCCCAATTCTAACACTACCATGATAAAGATAGGGATGGTTCCAATGACATCTTAGTGATTATTTTGAGGTTTTAAATAGATGGACTAACATACGAAAAAATAAATATGGAGTGATAGAAATAAAATTTTGCCATGTCATTAATATCCAACTGCAGTAGTAGGTGGAAAGTTTATGGCGACTGCTCAGGAACGTTTATGTTCCAATTATTATGATGGTCTGAAACGTCAGTTTGTGATGCGACTTGGTGGAGGTTCTTCTCTAGTGACCTCCTCATGCTTCCATTACAATTTTGGCCATGTTTTCTATTGCTAAATATTTAGTTATTTTCAAGTCAAATATTAGTTATCATTTTTCAATCTTAAATAGTCAAATGAATTATTATTTTAAGTGTTCATCACATATGACAAGACAAAATTCTCCATCCAAAGCACACAAAAATTGAAATCACATGACCAATTACACATGTACACGTAACACTCGTTATTCTAGTTGTGGAGGGAATAAAAGTCAAAAAGTATCTACAGTTATCACAACATGGGATGGCAATGATGATAATTTGGCAGCAAATTGTGAGGCATGTGACAGAAGAATCCTCAATATCTCCACATCTTTCTTCCACGCCTTCTTCCCAGACATGGATCCCCTTCCTCTGTTTCTTCTCCTCCTCCCCTTCTTTGCAACTCTTTCCTCTGCAGCTGACACCATCTCTGCCAACAATTCTCTCCCAGGGAGCCAAACCATAACCTCCGCAGGCGGCAACTTTGTGCTGGGCTTCTTCAAGCTAGGTAACTCCTCCAGCCGCTACTACGTCGGCATCTGGTACAAGAAGGTCTCCAAGATCACCCCCGTATGGGTGGCAAACCGAGAAACCCCGGTCGCAGACCAAAGCACATCAGAGCTCAGAATCGCCGGTGACGGCAACCTGGTCCTCCTCAACCAGTCCAAATCGATCGTGTGGTCCACTGATGCCAATATATCCTCCAACTCCACCCTTGCCGTGCTCCTCGATGATGGAAACCTGCAGCTGAGAGATGAGTCCAATGAGTCCCAGGTCTTCTGGCAGAGCTTTGATCACCCCACCAACACTTGGCTCCCCGGCAGCAAAGTGGGGTTGAACAAGGTCACCAATCGAAACCAGCATCTCACGGCCTGGAAGAACGACGATGACCCTGCTCCTGGGATCTTCTCCCTCGAATTGGATCCTAATGGAACCAGCCAGTACTTCATACTCTGGAACATGACCACGGAATACTGGACTAGCGGAATCTGGAATGGCCAGATCTTTAGCAATGTTCCTGAGATGACCGCGAACTACGTCTACAACTTCGAGTATGTTAGCAATTCGACGGAGAACTACTTCATCTACACCGTCAAGGATAATACGATCATCTCCAGGTTCGTCATGGACGTCTCCGGTCAGATCAAGCAGCTCACATGGCTGGAGAATTCACAAACGTGGATACTCTTCTGGTCTCAGCCGAGGCAGCAGTGCCAGGTGTATTCCTTCTGTGGATCTTTCGGTAGCTGCAACGAGAACGCTTTGCCGTTCTGCAAGTGCGTCCAGGGTTTCAGCCCCAAGTCTCAGAGCGACTGGGATTTGGGTGATCAAAGCGAGGGATGCCAGAGGAACACCCCGTTGCAGTGCGGTCGAAGCAACTCGTCCAGGACGGAGAAAGATGGGTTCCTCACCATGTCGAACATGAGGTTACCTGTGAACTCGCGGACTCTTTCCGCCGTCGGGAGTGACGGAGCCTGTGAAGCGGCCTGCTTGAGCGACTGCTCCTGCACCGCTTATTCTTACGGTAGCGGAGGGTGCTCTGTGTGGCACGGGGATCTGCTGAACCTGCAAGAACAGTTCAACGGATCAGATGCAAGCACCCTTTACCTTCGTCTTGCCGCCTCGGAGCTGCAAAGTTCCAAAAGCAACAAAGGAACGGTGATTTGGATCGTCGTCGGCGTCGCGGTGGCCGTCTTAACTTGTTTGGCCATCATATGGTTCATGATACGGAGGCGTCGGAAAAGGCAGATGATGAGAGCATCAAAGGCTGTGGGGGGTGGTCTGGTGGCGTTTAGGTACGGTGAGCTGCAGCATGCCACGAAAAACTTCTCGCACAAGCTCGGTGGCGGAGGTTTTGGATCGGTTTTCAGGGGGTCGCTGCCCGACTCCACCGTCGTCGCGGTGAAGAAACTGGAAGGCATTCTTCAGGGGGAGAAGCAATTCCGGACGGAGGTGAGTACGATCGGCACAATTCAGCATGTCAACCTGGTTCGCCTGCTCGGGTTCTGCTCCGAGGGAAGCAATAAGCTGCTGGTCTACGAGTTCATGCCGAAAGGTTCCCTCGACACCCAGCTCTTCCAGAGCAATTCGGCAGCTTTGGATTGGAGAACGAGGTACCAAATCGCCGTGGGAATCGCGAGAGGATTGGCTTATCTCCACGAGCAGTGCAGAGACTGCATCATCCACTGCGACATAAAGCCAGAGAACATACTGTTGGACGATTCATGCGTCCCCAAAGTGGCGGACTTCGGCCTGGCCAAGCTTGTGGGGCGAGACTTCAGCCGGGTTCTGACCACCATGAGAGGAACCAGAGGCTACCTTGCACCGGAATGGATCACCGGCGTGGCGATCACGCCAAAAGCCGATGTGTACAGCTACGGGATGATGCTGTTCGAGATCGTATCAGGGAGGAGGAACTTGGAGCAGACAGAGGACGGGACTACTGGTTTCTTCCCCACATTGGTGGCCAGCAAACTCAAATCTGGGGATGTGGGAAGCTTGCTGGATCACAGACTGGAGGGGGAAGCCGACCTGGAGGAGATGGAACGAGCCTGCAAGCTGGCATGCTGGTGCATTCAGGATGATGAGAGCTGCAGGCCAACAATGGGGCAAGTGGGTCAAGTCTTGGAGGGATTTCTGGAGGTCAACATGCCTCCCATTCCCAGATCACTTCGAGTTCTTGCTGAAACCCCAGAGGAGATCAATTTCTTCTACGAGTTCTCCTCGAATCAAAGCAGCAAGACCAGGAGTGCTACTTCAAATAGCACCCAGACCAAAAGCACTGCATCAAACAGTTCTGGTGTCTGAAGGTAAATGCAGAGTGCAGTCTTCTCTAGCTACCGAGTTTTCGGAAGAATGGAAGATGGGATGTTTTCAACCATCTGCATGATTTACTGATCATAGAAATCAGAATCTTATGCTCCTGCATATGAGGATTGTATGTCTAATGTCAACATATCTCAAAGTTAATAGTAAAGCATGTTGATATTTGTTAATTAATTGACTGCCTATCATAATCTTTTTTAACTTTGATGAGTAATTTACTTTCATACAATATTCATCATATTCCAAAATCATAAACAATTCAATCTGGACATTCATAACCTATTCAATAATATTAACAACTCATATCTATACGAAATCCTACCAAAATTTCACGATTAAAACTTGAAGAAGCGATATAATCCTTATACAATCCAAGAAGTTATATACCATCATATAACCATAAAAACTCTGTATTAGATCACGCTCAATATCAATTTGTTTACATAATTACAAGATCACTATATCATATCTAAAATAACATTTCACATTAATATTATACAAATCTAAAATATAGAAGGGTTTCAAATAATAATATTTTCCCTCAATCATGTCCACCCTAGACTATTCCTCTTGGTCTGAAAAATATAAAAAATAGACATATGAGCAAACAACACCTAGTAAGCACATCATAACTCGCATACCAGCCAAAATTTATTACAAATATGTATAAATAAATAATTATAAGTGCTTCTTATAATTAATTTTTATTTTCAAAGTAAAACATATAAAATGTCAAATCATTCTTAATATTTCTATCAAAAGCCATATAAAAGCTTTGTATTCATTTTAGAGTTAACAAAGCCATAATTATAGCTAAATGGCATGTCAAAATAAAAATCAGATTCACACAAATGATGATGATTAGATATTAATAATTTAAATAAATATAACTAAAGATGCATATCTAAATTCATATTAAGTATCACTATAACTAAGAATGTATGTCAAAACTACATTCAAAATAATACTAACGGCTACAGTCATGCTATATATTCATTCATTTAACCGCGTTTGTATTAACCCCCCATTGTATAGGTAACACATATTTTTCTCTGTTAGGGCATAAAAGAAACTAGTTTCGATGTATAACCTCCGGTGGTAGGAATCCAGATCATAACCATACTATTCATGCAATTTCAATTATCAAACACATTTAAAAAACTAATATTTAAACAAATTCTCTTTTTTTCTTTCATTTCAAATCTAACAATTCATATAACATTTAAAACTAATAAGAATAAATCATTTTTGATCCTTTTGAATAATTAAAATATCGAACTGATACTTCCAAAGCTGATACATATTTCACTTAATAAGTGCAAACCATATATTTTGGTAAGTTTCAAACATATACATTAATTGCAAATGCATACATATTACTTTTAGAACATAAATTTATTGGATACTTGGACCCCAACCGTGAATCCTTTAATTTATTTAATATATGTTATAGTAGATTTTGAGCTATTTGAGTTAGAAATTGATTTGGATCTAGTTTGATTCTTTTTCGAGCCTTATCTCAGGATGGAACTCATTGTCTATGACATGCAAAACTAAGTCAAGGGCATTTTCAACAAAACTCTTCTAATGCTTAAGTTAGTCATTTAGTCAGACAAATTATACTCAGATTATTTTTATGTGTTAGGTATACTTGCGTGACCCCTTTACGTTATACAATCTGTTCGGTAACAAAAGCATGAGAACTAATCATAACTAACCTCATTAGGTCATTACGCATGATTACAATTTTGTTTACCAAATATTGGCTCGGTCATGTGTCAACTAAGTAGCTTGACCATGCAAAAAGGAGACCCTTTTGTGCATCATAGAGTAGTAATGATAGCATTTAATGTTTATGGGTCAGCCATGTATCATAGATTGATACATGTCGTTGGTGTAATAGATGATGGAATACTCGATTCGCTCTGTCTAACTCAGTATCCTTGACTTGGGCTATCCGACTCAATGTGCTTGACTGGGTATGTTTGACTTAATTGTACTAGTGTGACATGTCGGTGGAGTACCCCGATTAGCACGATGATGCATGGGGATGAGATAGCTAGGCACGACGAAGTGATTGGATGATATGCCAAGGTGTGGTGGCATGGTGACGATGTGTAATAAGACTAATGAGGCTAGATGTGGTAGAACATTGGGTTAGTTCCTTCGGGTATGTTAGTGTAGAGGATCGAAAGATCGGAAGGCTAGGGCCAATGGCATATAAAGCGACAGTGAAGTCATCATGATGGTGCACGAAAAGCTAAGAGGTCGGGTGTAGTGGCATGAAGAGGGTGAGTTAAGCCGAGTGTAGTGGTGCACAAAGGGCTAGGAGGGCAAGTGTAGTGGCATGCAAAGAACCAATGAAGCCGAGAGGACTGGTGAATGCAGGGCCAGGAGGCTAGGAGTAGTTACGCATAGAGGGCTAGTAAAACAAAGCACGATAGTACACAAAGGGTCAGGAGGTTGGGGGTAATAGTGCACGAATGGCCAAGAGGTGGAGCGTAGTGGCATAAACGACTAGTGTGATCGATACATGATGGAGTAGAGGACTAGCTACGTGCACATGCCTGGCATGCCTCCCCTTTGATGGGTGGGAGAATTTAGGTGGAATTGGACATGATTTCACAATAGATCATATGCTATACTTAACACGATGTCTTGGGCTCCTCAAAGATAGGTGGAATTTAGGGAACGGGGTCATGGTGCAATTGCCCTCTACTACATGGCCACTAAAATGATCATGATGAGATTTAATACGATATCCTTGATGATATGAATGACCGTTGCATTGTTAGTATTGTGCCACATGTCATAGGTGGCCACTATCTTTGAGGAGCCCAAGAGTTGAATAGGTGGCCAAGTAGACAAAGCATCGCCTAAAACCACTATAAACAGTAGTTTGTTTCAAAAAGGTACTTCTCACCTCAGCTTGCAACTTGAACCCTTGTGAACAATACACTCACAGCCATATAATAAAAGGTCTATGAAGCCATCCTCAATCTCCTCCTCCAACACTTTGGACTCGGATATGTCACTAATCTTATCATCATGCTTGGTGTCAGTAGCGAAAACTTAAATCTCGGCTGAAGTTAAGTTGGCCACACAAATGGAGGTTGCCCACAAAGAGGCGAATTCATACTACAGTGTGGCTCGACCACATATAGGGAGTCTTTTGACCTAGATTTACTGGTCATAGGTGCTCTACAAACTAATCACATGAGTGATGACACGTATGACATGACACACACTCTTTAGCTTATTATTATTATTTTAATATTTTCTCACTTTATATTACTTGTTGCATATATATATATATACATTTATATATATATGTATACATATATATATATATATACATATATGTATGTATATATACATACATATATATACATATATATACATAC